TGGCTCCATTCGAAAACATGTCACAGCTCATTTATCTTCCTTAAGGATTTCTTAAAAAGAAATGTTTTCCAAAGATAGCTTACACTTTAGAATTCTTTTCCATTTGATTTCCTTATGCTAAAAATTACTCATTATATGATTGTCATGTCTCGAGTCGTGACATAAACTAAACTTAAAATTCCATGTATGTGATGAAACATAATCGGATATGATTCGAGACTTGTACAATCTCGAACCTACAAGCGAACCGGAACAATGCAGAAACTGCAACATGACTGACTCGTCATCCTGATATAAGAAAGCTTTCAAGAAGTGCTTTTTGTTTTCTTTTATTTTAATGATTGCCAATCGTTCATTCACTGTGAATGGGTGATAGAACTTTGAAGCTTTAATATCATACGTGATGATGTTAATTTTCGTTGATTTCTTTCGACGCGTTTCGTCCTAAGCTGAGAATAATAACTGAAACATGCTGCAGAAATTACAACAACTGCCTAAATACATTACATTGCGTGTTGTCATATTTCGGGGATCATATCAGCACTAAGCTTTAAAACACAATTCTGCTCCGCGTTCTCCGGCGTAAGAAAATCCACAATAATTAACTCGATTCCTTCCACTCTTCAAGACCTACACAGAAACAAAGGGAAAGAAAAGTTTAATGAATTTCCACAAATTACCACACGACCTATCCAAGAACTAGGTCTGATTATTAGTGCTTGCTATTAGGGATACGAATTAGGGTAGATTGCAAATTTATGGAGTAAACTCAGTCTTGCAAACATAAAATAAGAGATTATTCGGACAGGCGGGTTTCTCCAACTAATCAGGTTACCTCGCCGTGGAAACAGGCCCTAAGAAACCCAATTCTTAGTTAACACGTTTCGAAAGATCTTCTTTGTCAAGTCGCAATCGTGAGAGAAAGAAAAAAATTCAGAGTCTATTCTCAAGTCTTAGCTACAGAGAACTTTAAGGCCCGTGCTCTTGAAGATATGAATAACATCCTTATTTCTTATTCTTTCCACTCTTGCCTAACTTACGTGTTTACAGATAATTTAACAGAGAATAACTAGATTGGCGGTACTAGAGAAAGCTTTAGTTAAAATATTGCAATATTGCATCATCAATTCAAGTTTCTGAAAGTTTCCAAGTCAGTAGCTAGAAGCGTCATTACTCAGTCGTACCGTTCATCGTGTTCCGTGGGAAAATTTCGGCTTGGTTGAATACTGTGACTTATATTCTCGTTTGCCCATCTCCTCTGCCCATTTGTTATCGTTCTGTTGGCTAACACAGCACGTTCATCATTCTCCACGGGTTCCTTTTGCGTCGCAGGTCTCTTCGTGAGGAAATAAATGGTCATCAACGGTACGATGATACCGCAGAGTAGGCTGAAAATGTCTTGAATCAAAATCATGTTTGCCAGTAGAATATTTCCCCAAGCAGAGATGGAACACGCACGACTTTCTGAACTGTTGATGCAGATGGCTTGTCTGAATAAGTTGGATGCAAAAATGAAGAGCGTCTTTGAAGGTTGGCGTCCATCCGTCCGGCCCACGCTTACTATAGGCAGGTGGTGTTAATCAGCTATTAATAACACAGAAGAAATCCAAAGAACAGTCCTTAAAATGAATTGCAAGATATAAGGACAGTCAAATGATTACTAAACAAATATAGGAAAATAAGCCTACGATCCCGTTATTAAATGCATGACAAATGTTTAAATGGGGCATCTCATTACGAGGACTGTCACTGAGCTCCATGCAGCACTTTTTTTAAAATTTTTGTTTAGCCGAAAACTTCAAGAAAATGATAGCAACTTTTAAGCAGCCATTTTCTTATGTAACACGGGAAAAAATTAAAGCAGTGAAGAAATTTGTTCCGTGAAGTAGATTCATTATTTGTAACAGTGAAGGGTTTTATTTGGTGTTTATAGTCACAAGAGCTCTCTATGCTTGGTATTTTTTACCGGACTAAATTTTAAGTTTATCCGAGCTGAATGAATTTACTGTCGAAGCCATCTACCGTAAATTATTAGGGTGTATTCTTTAAATTTTGTTCGTTTTATTTTAACTTGTGTGATCAATCAATTGACACTTTTTTTCAAATTTCTTCTCATATATATGTTATTCAACAGACGGGAGGTCCGTATTGGGAAAAACTGTGCCCGAGATCTTGGATACCGCCCGAAGGTCAGAATTCACAAACAAAATTTAAAGAGATTAGTAATTTATGATCGATGGCTTCGATAATAAGTTCATTCATGCTCGGATAAGATTAAAACTTCATCAGCTGAAAAATACCAAGCATAGGGAGCTATTGCGACTAAAACAAAAATGAAACCCGTTACTGTTCCAAATAGTGAATCTATTTCAGGGAACAAATTTCTTTACGAATTCAGAATTCAGTGCATCTCGCGCACTTTAAAATTATTTTCCATTTGATTGTTACGCTAGCATTTCGCGCTCTTTAGAATTCTTTTTCATTTGATTGTTACACTAACATCTCGCGCACTTTAGAATTCTTTTTCATTTGATTGTTACGCTAGCAACTCGCGCTCTTTAATTTCTTTTTCATTTGATTGTTACCCTAGTATCTCGCGCACTTTAGAATTCTTTTTCATTTGATTGTTACGCTAGCAACTCGCGCTCTTTAATTTCTTTTTCATTTGATTGTTACGCTAGCATCTCGTGCACTTTAGAATTCTTTTTCATTTGACTGTTACGCTAACATCTTGCGCACTTTAAAATTCTTTTTTATTTGATTGTTACGACAGTATCTCGCGCACTCTTAAAATTCTATTTTGTTGCATTGCCACGCTAGCATCTCGCGCACTTTAGAATTCTTTTTCATTTGATTGTTACGCTAGCGTATCAAATGAAAAAGAATTCTAAAGTGCGCAAGATGCTTGCGTAACAATCATATGATTACCAATTTAAATCCTCCCCTACATTTAGAAATTCTCTTAACAATGACATACATTCTAAAGAGATTGGACAGAGATATTTTGCACTATTTCTTGGTGTTTCAAGACTCTGGAGCGAAGGGATTTGGTGGCAAGTTTCCAAAAATCCACGTGGCCATGTTAAATAATAGAATGACGTCCCAAAAATATTTAACTTTGATAACGCTATTTTATTTTATCACAATTTATCGCAACAGCACCATTGCTAGCCTCTGCTCTTGCAGAGTTCCGCACCTTGATTCCATCGAACTTTGAGATGAAAAGCCACAGAGACCAAATAAATGTCACGAGTTGGCTCCATTTTCAAACATGTCACGACTCATTGCTTCCTTAAGGATTTTTTAAAAGGAAATGTTTTCCAAAAGATAGCTTACCTTCAGTTGTTGTTAACTTAGACTCTTTACCGTGGCTCCTCTTCGTAAGTCAAGCGTCTTCTTACCCGATGGAATATTTACCTTCAGCAAAAAGTATCTCCCGTATGCTAAAAATTACTCATTGTGTGACTGCAATTGTCATGTCTCAAGAAGTGAAATAAACTAAACTTAAGGGGCGATCTCTATTAGAGCGGTCCAAGGCATTTCGCATCGGAAAAAGTTTTGCCTCAAACTTTGCCCATTGAACTATCTTTGGTAGAAAGTAGATAAGACCACGTTGGTTTCTGGAAATACGTCGTGTTTGAGTGCTCTCAATAATCAAAGCTGCAAAAGGCCCTCGCGACATCGAAAATTTGAAAAGTTGACAAGCTTGCTCTTCGTAACACACCACATGCAGCAAAAATCGTTTATATTCCTAAGTTGTGTGATATATAAGGGGTTTAGAAAGTATTTCAATTTTGATGTGCGTTTATTCAAAGATTCGCCATAATTTATTTAAAAACACCCGTTAGACAGCTTTCTAAAATTGGTCAAAAGTACTCTTTCTTTCTTGAGTGATATTTCTCAAGTCCAGACTAGACCATTGAAAGCTCCGGTCGATTTATTCTAACAAGATGTTCGAAAGCATAGAAATGTAAAAACAACTTGCCCTTATTGACTTTGACTCCTTCACCGCAGTGACTTCAAACTTTTGGAGATATTGCTAGCGTAACGGCAAAAGTATGCAAAAGTGGTCTGTTGAGCAAACTCCGACCGTAGCTTCATAAATCTTAGAATTTAATCATTAAAATAAAATAGTAGGGTAGAGCTTTTAGAACACACTGATTGGTTTTCTAAACAATTTAAACGGCTAAATTCTAGCAAATAATTCTGTCGTGAAGTCTCTCTTTTTGGGCGAAGTCCGTCGCGCGAGTAAAAAACAAATCAGTGCTTAAAATAGAAAAAAGAGTGTTAGAACGCGACCGGAAGCTTTTGGAGTGAGGCGCGGACATAAATATTTTCTACAATGAGTTTTTTGCGACCTGCGCAACGAACTTCGGCAAAAAGGAACGACTGCTTGTAGATCGCCGGTTAAACTTCATATAATCCTGTATTTTGGTTCTGAAATGTTCATACAGGTTTGAATAGCTTAAGCTCTCAAACCTCAAACATAAAAGAACAGAAACAATTATTTTTTTAAAGTTTCTCATTAGCACGTTGACCGAACCCTAATTAGTATGATATTCGATACATTTTGTTCACCTTTTTCGTCACGAGAAAGAACATAGCAGAAAATATTTTCAACTACTCGTTTCAGTAGTGTTCTTAGCTGCGAGGATCTCTTAATTTCATCTCTTCACCGCAATGCAAATATATGAATTTCATACATCTAAAATCATCATTTGCCAGAATGCTAAGAAGATCAATGAGTGTGTTCTAAAAGCTCTGCCCTACTATTACTCATCATATGATTGTCATGTCTCAATTTGTGACGTAAACTAAACTTAAAATTCCATGTATATGATTAAACATGATCGGATATGATCCAGAACTTGAATGAATGACTTGTAATACTGATATAAGATGGCTTTCAAGAAGTGCAGATTTTTCTTATATTTTGATGATTGCCAATCGTTCAATCTCTGTGAATGGTTGACAGAACTTGCAAGCTTTAATACCATACATGATGATGTAAATTTTCGTTTATTTCTTTCGAAGCTTTACGTCTTATGCTGAGAAAAATAACTAACATGCTGCAGAAATTACAACAATTACCTAAATACATGTTATTGCGTGTTGTTATCTTTCGGGGATCATACAATTAGCCCCTGGCTTTCAGACACAATTCTGCTCCGCGTTCTCCGGCGTAAGAAAACCCACAATAATTAACTCAATTCCTTCCACTCTTCAAGACCTACAGGAAACAAACGGGAAAAAAGGTCTAATGAATTTCCAAAAATACCACTCGACCTATCTAAGAACTAGGTCTGATTATTAGTGCTTGTCACTTTTGCAGATCAAGGTTTAGGGATACGAATAAGGGTAGATTGCAAATTTATGGAGTAGCCAACTCAGTCTTTCAAACATAAAATAAGAGATTATTCGGACAGGCGGGTTTCTTGGTTAACACGTTAAGAAAGATCTTCTTCGTCAAGTCGCAATCGCGAGAGAAAGAAAAAAATTCTGAGTCTATTCTCAAATCTTAGCTACAGAGAACTTAAGGCCCGTGCTCTCGAAAATATAAACAACATCCTTATTTCTTATTCTTTCCGCCCTTGCCTAACTTACGTGTTCACAGATAATTTAACAGAATAACTAGATCATCTAGCAAGCTTTAGTTAAAATTTGCTGTGTCAGCAATTGAGTTTTCTTAAAGCTCTTCAATAGTTAGGTGTCGTTACTTAGTCGTACCGTTCATCGTGTTCCGTGGGAAAATTTCGGCTTGGTTGGATACTGTGACTTATATTCTCGCTTGCCCATGTCCTCTGCCCATTTGCTATCGTTCTGCTGGCTAACACAGGACGTTCATCATTCTCCACGGGTTCCCTTTGCATTGCAGGTCTGGTCATGAGGAAATAAATGGTCATCAACGGTAAGATGACACAGAGTAGGCTGAAAATGTCTTGAATCACAATCATGTTTGCCTGTAGAATTTTTCCCAAGCAGAGATGGAACAAGCACGACTTTCTAAACTGTTGATGCAAATGGCTCGTCTGAATAAGTTGGATATTATTATGAAGAATATTAATTAATGTGTTGTAGTTGGCAACTTAAATACATTTATCTTTGAAATTTGACAGCTCCACACGCGTCCCATGCAGCCAACGCTTACTCCGTCTAGGCAGGTCGTGTTTTAAACCAATAGTCCTTATTAAAAAAAAAAATTGTAAGATCCAAGGACAGTCAAATGATTACTAAACGAATTAACGATCGACTTTATAGAAGTGTGAATATCAGTATTCGAAGAGGAAAACAAGCTTACGATTCCGTTATTAAATGCATTGCAAACGTTTAAATGGGGCATTTCATTAGGAGGACTGTTACTGAGCTCCAGAAGCACATTTTTAAAATTTTTGTTTTGCCGAAAACTTCAAGAAAATGATAACTAAACTGCGCAAGTGAAATATCACATTTCTAAGTGTGTCATTGTACCGAGAAACTCGTCAATTTGAATTTCAAAAACAACCAAATTTAGTAAAACATGTTTTTCGGTATTGCTGTGTTACATCGAATGGCAGCAGAAAAGATCTTCATTCTACTTAAAGAATAATTAAACTACATTACACTTAAAACCAAATGCCTCGTCCAGAGAAGTAACAAAGAATTTCTTGCGTATTGTTCAGCTAGACTTTGAACTTTTGCACATAAACTTGTTTGTACGAATTGAAAACATGGTGTTACATAAACCAGCAAAATAACAAACCATCGCCAAGTAATTTAAACGTCGAATTATACACAATTAAATGAGTGACAGTTTAGAACGAAAAGGCGTAATGGCATACAAAAGGGTCACAATTTACCGTCGAAATTCAATTGATTTGTTTTTAATGTCTGTATTTTTATATCCAATCAACCTCTAGACCTATCTTATGCTTTGATGCTTTTTCAAAACAAAGAACCTTAAAGCAGCCATTTTCTAATGTAACGCGAGAAAAAAAATTAAAGCAGCGAAGAAATTTGTTCCGTGAAATAGATTCATTATTTGTAACAGTAACGGGTTTTATTTTGGTTTTTAGTCACAAGAGCTCTCTATGCTTGGTATTTTTTACCTGACTAAGTTTAAAGCTTATGACAATGCTGCACTTAAACTAAAGAAGATTTTCTCTATTAAAATCCCTATTTGAGATTAACTTGAATCAGATGACGATAAACTCACTTGTTTTCCGTTCGGTATGACTGGCTCGACGATCGCGACGATAGTCTCTGCCTTTGCAATCTTTGAGGAAAGGAGCAACTTGCAATGAAACAACCCGATGACTTCTCGGTGAAAAATCATTGTGCCTCGTGATACAGCTGATTCTTTCGTCACAAGTTAGGTACAAATCAAAAGTTGAAATTAAAGAAGGTTCGAAGCTTGCGCAATTATTGGGTCAAAGAAATAGGCTTTCTTTTTCTAATGACCACATATTTTACGTTTTCAAAAGTCTCTGTTTCCATCCAAATAAATTTCCCCGCATAAATTCGCCTCCAAACAAACACCGGTTTCACTGGTGTATGTGATGGTACATCTTATCTTTATCATGTTTTTTGGAAACATTCTTAACCACGCATTTGAGTTTAAAGGAAATTGCGCCCACAACAACAATTAAAAGGGCATTGCTGCCACATAACACAAAAAAAGTAAAGATAAATGAAAAATCAAAATTTAGAGTAGAACAACTTAAATCATTTTAAAATCTTGTAATAGCTTTGATGCCAAATTCCTCTCGCCGAAACTGACCTCAGTTGTTGAAACAAAGCAGTAATTAACAGTCTATCGTGCTTTTTTAATATCGTAAGATCAGTCTAACTTGGAGCATGCGAAAAACTGGGCCCGTGCAGTTCCAGAGATGGGCAAAAGACTGCATTATCTCCGAAATTCTCTTGAAAAATATTCCGTCCATCTCTAATTAACCGGTCGAAAGATTGGTACCCGGTCAGTGATTGGATAGAAAATTGCGAGTCTATTCTCAACTCTAAGCTACAGAGAACTTTAAGTCTTGTGCTCTTGAAAATATGAATAATATCCTTATTTCTTATTCTTTCCACTCTTGCCCAACTTAGAGAATAGCTAGGTTGGCGGTACAAGAGCAAGCTTTAGTTAAAATATTGCACTATCATCAATTTAAGTTTCTGAAAGCTTCCTAGTCAGTAGCTAGTAGAGGCGTCATTACCTAGTTGTACCGTTCATCGTTTTCAATGGGAAATTTCGGCTTGGATAGCTTGAATGGATACTGTGACTTATATTCTCGAGGAAATAAAAGGTCATCAACAGTACGACGACACAGAGTAGGCTGAAAATATCTTGAATCACAATCATGTTTGCCTGTAGAATTTTTTCACAAGCTGAGATGGAACAGGCACAACTTTCTGAACTGTTGATGCAGATAACTCGTCTGAATAAGTTGAATACTATTTTTTTACACTCCCACAGGCTCCCCCGCGTACGCTTTTACCAATTAGATTCTGGGAAGGTGGTGTTTCCTTTTAATCGGAAACTATCATCATAGAAGAAACCCAAACAACAGTCCTCAAAGAAATTGAAATAGCTTTGATGCCAATGTCCTCTTACTGAAACCGACCTCAGTTGTTGGAGCAAAACAGCAAATAACAGTTTTAAGATGGCACTGTAATGTTTCTCTTTCGTTCATTTTTGACTAACAAACACATTTTGGGTAAAATTTCCGGACAGTCCCAAACTACATTATGCATTCAGTTCTTGGATAGAGAAAACAGTGACAAAAACAATACATTGCCATTGGGAAAACAGATTTGTTTTACAATAGTATGGGGCTGTGCGGAAATTTTACCACATTTGTTTTTGCTAATTTACTGAACTCATTTCGAGAGCTAGGCAATCTGTCAATTTGCCATCAATTTCCTTATTGCTCTTTTTTGTCATCCACAACAATAAGAAAAAAAAGGAAATGTAAATCGCTCTTTGAATGAAAAAGTCATAACGTTCCTTCAACCGGAGTAGAAACCATCATTCAATTTTAGATCTTCTTAGTAAAATGTTTGTCACTTTCTCGTCGATTTTATCATCTTTCAGACTCAAGTAGAGTTTGTCTGGTTGTAGTCAGTCAGTTTTGATCTCTTGGAACAGCTGCGGCTTTCTTCTCACATGTCTCAGTTTGTTGGTTATGTTCTGATCATAAAAAAAGTCGTCTCCAAGATGCAGTGCTGTTACCCATTCCGTTTTGTTTTATTTTCATCTACGTGCTGAGAGGACTTCGTTTGACGACAATGAACTATTTTTTTCTGGGTCAGTAGTTGAAAATAGTCATTCTTGTAGGTCGAGAATATCAAGTTAACTCTCAGACAATAGCGGTGCTACAAAGATAAAAAGGCAAGATCGGCTTCAGCTGTTTCAAATTTCATTCGAACTTCATACGAGGTCTTACATTACAGAGCCATCTTAACAAATATTTACCTTTTGAAACATCAGCCAAGGTACACCTGGGATGCCAATTGTTACACAAACAAAAACTGAGCGATCGGTTATATGAAATTAATAGATTTAGTCCCAGTTTTCTGTCGTCACAATTGATCCAATGTCCATTTTCTGCTTTTGCTACTTGAGGCGATGTAATGAAAGTTTTCGAGATAATTTAAATCAAATTAGAGCCAGCAGTGGAAACGAATGAATAGATCATATGATCGCTCAAGGTCTCAGCGAATAACAATATGTATCATTGCAACCTAGTCTAGACAAGTGGTGGCAACTTTTAAACTGATCACATTCCAACTGATTGCAAGAAATACCATCCACGAGTAAAAAAAAAAAAAAAAAAAAACACAAGATGTTTAGACAGCCACCATTTTTTCTATTGTAACTCAAATGATGTTAAAGTTCTTATCTTTGCGGCATCCTCTTAATATCCCCTTGATTCCACAGTCCTCTCTTGGCCAGTTTCTTTTTCCATTCATCCTTCTGACAATCATCTACTACCTGAAATATATGAATCATCGATATGATTAGAGACTAATTACCAATTTAAAGGTAAAATTTCCGGACAGCCCCATACTTCATTATGCATTCAGTTCTTGAACAGAGAAAACAATGACAAAAACACTACATTTCCATTGGGAAAACAGATTTGTTTTACAATAGTATGGGGCTGTGCGGAAACTTTATCAATTTAAATCTACTCGTACATTTAGAAATACTGTTTACAATGATGTACATTCTTAAGAGTTTGGAAAGAGATGTGTTGAGCTATTTCTTGGTGTTTTTAAGACTCTGGAGGGAAGGAATTTGGTGGCAAGTTTTCAAAAATCCACGTGGCCACACGAAATTAAAGAATGACGTTCCCAAAATATTTGACTTGATAAAAAATTTACTTTAGCTTTCGACATGAAGGGTAGTAATTTCTGTCACAATTTATCACAGCAGCACCATTGCTAGCTAGCCTCTGCTCTTGCAGAGTTCCACACTATTACTAAATCGAACTTTGAGATGAAAAGCCACAGAGACCAAATAAATGAGACGTGTTGGCTCCATTCACAAACATGTCACGACTCATTCAACTTCCTGAAGGATTTCTTAGAGGAAATGTTTTCCAAAAGATAGCTTACCTTCTGTTGTAATTAACTAAGACTCTTTCCTGTGGCTCTTCTTCACAAGTCAAGCGTCTTCTTGCCAGACGGCAAATTTACCTTCAGCAAAAAGGGAACACACGTCTTCCCTCTCCGACAGACAGCATGGTTTGCTAAAAATTCATTAATTTCTGATGAATATGGATTTATAACTCCAGCCAATAAGAGGTTGAAAGTCACATACTTCGGCGCGAAGTTTGTGTGCACGCTCAGCCAGTTAAACGAGAATAGGATGAAAAGAATGACATTGTGTGTGATGAATTCACACGTGCAAGGAGAAATAAATCAAGAGTCACGGTATTTTGAAAAAAGAAATCTGCTATCGAGAAGGTGACTCTAAAACTGAAAAAGGATTTCAAAGAAATTCACCGGTAGGGAATTGAAATTTGCTTTTACGACTTTGATAAAACTGAGAAAATATCTTGGATTCTAATCAAATATAAAAACTATAAAGCCTTAATTTACGATTCCACAAATAAATGGTAATAACCAATACGAAGAACACCTGTTAGGGACTTACAGAAACCACGGCGACGACGGTAAGGAGAACGTAGCAAAACAAAACGGCTAATGAGCAAAACAATGACACGGCGCGTGCGTCTTAAAACTTTGAGCAATTCTCAAGCGTCCCAAACAAAACAAAAACGTGAAATCACCAAGTTTTGCGTCCTTTTGGCAAGGAAACCTCGACAGCAATTTATTAAATTACAGCATAAATTGCAAGCGCGAATGCACACCGTACACAGTTTCTTAAAATTGGAACTTAACATGTTACATCTTTTCTTCGCTCCTCCTTTTCCGATATCTGTTTCCAGCGACGTCCACTTCTGATCGTCATCACTTTGTCAGGCATTGTGGCGCATTTCGCGGGACAAAAATTGAGATTTTAGAGGGCTTAAATTTATTTTAGCCCGCTCACACGCTGGCGTGATTGTTCGAGCTGTTTCATTGTCATTTTTTTTTCCAGTTTTTATTATCCCAATGCCCTTCAAATGCATTTCATATTTATAATTCTATGATAATTCGCATCAATATTTCTTTGGAAAAAGTCTTATAAACATTATCATCCACATAAAGACAGCACAAACTGTTATTATCATTATCCAGAGCCACATGGAACAGGGCGTCTGCGTCAACTCTTCGAGTCTTTCCGATTCTCTTTTCAGTTTTTCGAAGTTGTTGTCCGCAAGTTTTGTTGAATTTTCCAGTGTCTAGATGAGAAAAATGAAAAAAATCATTTCAAAGCATTTTAGAAACTTCAGAAATCTTGCTCACTCGCACTTTGAAGTAGCCTGCAGAGGAGGGGTAATTTTGACAAGCGATTTGCTTCGCATTTTCTTGGTTGTTAAACAAATTCTCCTTGTCAGCACCTTAGGAAATGTATAGAGAACAGTATGGAGAATATGCATGCAGATGTTCATGTGTAAAGGGCTCACAATCATCAGGAGCTTCTTTTGTTGGTGATCATTTCCTTTACTCTCATGACCTTGATGTGTAATTCAGGGGTGATATTGTAAAGAGAAATTAGACGCTGGTCACTCATGGCTGAAAGGGTTAACCCCTTACACCCTAACATCAGTATGCATATTCTTCATACTGTTCTCTAAACATTTCCTAAGGTGCTGACAAGGAGAATTTGTTTAACAATCAAGAGCTGCTTTAGTTGGTGATCATTTCCTTTATTCTCATGACCTCAACTTGTAATTCAGGGGTGATATTGTAAGGAGAAATTAGATGCGAGTCAAGGTTGAAAGGATTAAGGAACCTGGAGTAACAAAGAGAACTACATGCTCTTCTCACCCAGTTGCATTCAGAGAAAACCCACCTTTGAATCCTCTTTAATAATATTACCAGCCATGAGTGATGTATGCTTCAAGCTCTGTGCCATTCTGATCATTTCCTCTGCAATATTTTCCTGCATATTCTGGTGATGTTGTAACACTGTGTCTATGCTCCCATCTTTGGTTTCTCTTTTATCACCTGTTGCCCTGAAATGAAGTGCAGCCAAGTAGAATCAGATCTGACTATAAATATTATATATGCTGTGTGTAATTTACTGGCTAGCCTGCAGAACAAGCATGATTTTTTTCCTTTCCACTTTTCAGGTGAGTGAAGGCAAGTGGCAGGTAAACTTGAAAGGCGAGACTATACTAACATTCACTTCTTCAACTTGCATATGAAGTTGAAATCACTGTTTTGTCCTTACCCTATTATGAAATTACATGTGATCTATTGTTGAACAGACACACCACAAGACAGAAACTATTTGTAAATTGTATACTTATATGCTTTTCTAATGCATGTTGATCTTATTAATATAAGTTTTGTAAATTAAAAAGGATACTTTAAACTTATTTGTAAATCAGTGTTATGGGAACAATAGTACCAAATATGCAGTTGATTAAACTTGTGATTATTCATCAATAAGTAATAAAATCATTCAAAGCTTCATTCTAAATGACAAAATAAATTTTATAGATGATACTGTACAAATAAAGCAAATGACTGTTCTTACCTCTTCCGCAAGCCTAGAGGATCCTTCTTGTCACTGTCTACATTTCAAGGAGAATTAATTAAACAAATTTTTTTTAACAGTTACAAGGCTCATAGATTATATACTGACAATTCTTGTGCAAGGGTGAATCCAGGAATCTTTTGATGGGGAAAGGGAGGGGGAGGTTCCAACACCACAGCCTTGATAAACCAAGAACCATTTAAGAGAAGTAAATATTCAATACTTCATATTGAGTAGCCTGTCATTGCAAAAACTTGGTGTCAGACTAGTGGTAAAAAATTATGTTACAGTCTAGTACAGGGGGAGTCCAGACCCCCCTCCCTCTCCCTCTCTGACTGTTCTCCTAAATTGGAATCAAATAAATGGTAAAAGAATCCACTGTTCTGGAGTGGGGAGCCAGTCTGCACCCCTACCCCCACATTCACTGACCCTTCTCCTTCATTGTTGTTGGGCAAGAGGTGAAAAAAAATCCACTGGTCTGGAGTGGGAAGGGGGGGTAGGTCAGATGTTTGCACCCCCATACCCCTGCCTTGGGCTTGCCACTGCTGTATCATAAAAATAAAAGCTTTAGAAGTTTGTTCTTACCAGTTCCTAACAGTTCATTTCTCATTTCCCTATTTATCTGTGATTTTGCCTTGATATGTAGTTCTTGTCCTTTATTTAATGGCCGTCCTGCGTCTCCTGCGCGGTTAGTTTGGGTGGGTGGCTGACTCAATGGTCTCACCAACTGCTGGCTGGCAATCAGCTTCTCAGTTGGTGATTTCTGGAATAAAACCCCAGCTAATACTTAATTGATAATCATGCAGCAGCCATTATTTAATAAATTTGCATGCTAATTTCCTCCTAGCACAGTGATCAGGCTCAAACCTACACTGAACCTGTGCATATAAGTTAAGCTTACTACCTACTGGACTACAAATTCATATGCTGGGAGCTAGATAAAGTTTGAAAATTCATTTTTACCCCATAAATGTATCTTATCACAAAGAATTTCCATAGCTAAGTATGGCAGGATTTATGTGCCTGAAAAAACAGAAGTCAATATAATCTTCATAGAGAGTGTTTCTTTAGTGCCAAAAAATATTGATTTAAAGTTCAACTTAGTCACTGTTAAATCCATTGCCAGTCTTACCATTTTATGAGTTTCAATGAAGCCTTTCAGAAACTCCACCTTCTTGGTGTACTCATTCATTGCATCAGGACTTGGTTTGCTGTTAAATAAGATTAAATTTCAAGAGAATGGCAAAGCCACTACACTGTTTATAAAGAAGCATTTGTGAAAAGAATAAAAGGGGTAAATTTCTAAAGAAAATTTCAGTGGTGCTGCATGGTTGGGAGAGTATAACAGGGTAATTTAGTGTTATCAACTGAGTTGATAATGTGAATTGGCCACCGTAAAGAGCTTTAAAGCTGATGTCTTGAACGTCAGCCCTTTGTCTTTTGCTCTGATGAAGAGCCAATGCTTGATATAAGCTTTAAAACTCTATACAGTGGCCAATTTAAGTTATCAACTCAGTTGATAATACTTAATTCCCCTGTTAGTGAAAAGACACTGGTTCTCTGATGGAAAGCACAAAGGATCAGAGGTTTGAAGCAACCCTCAAACATACAATCAGGGAGTTGCATGGTGAGAAAAAGAGAGCATAAAGACAAGCTTTATCATTGAGCCCTCAGAGTTACTTAATATTAACATCCCCCATGTATTGTTCCACTGAATTACATCCCGTCAGCTGATGGGCACTGATACCAGATATAGTTGTTGTAATTCCATTTTTCATGTCTAATGTCTAAGTAGTTATGAAACAAGTCGAGTTTTTCCTGTTTTGTTTCTCAGACCCTTTGCAAAAAAAAGGACAACAGATATTCAGCCCCCCCCCCCCCCCAAAAAAAAAAGTTTTGAATCAAACTAAAATTTATACTTTAACATAGACATTCCAGTCTACAAGAGACCCTTTTCTTGATAAAAATCAAATTATATTTGGTTTATTTGCCAGGAGATGTGTAAAGGGGAATCCAGTTAGTATTTTTGAGGTGTTTTTAAAATACCCACTTGCTTGATTTCCGTAGTTCAGTGACTTGTCTCTGGAGGGTTGATACATACTGTGAACATAAAAGTAATTTTTTTTTAACTGCGAACATCAGTGTGCATATTCTCCATACAGTTCTCTACACTTTCCCTTTGGTATTGACAAGGAGACTTTGTTTTACAATCAAGAGCTCCTTTAGTTAACAACCAATTTTTATTTTCTCATAACCACCATATTTGATTCAGCAGTATTGCTGTGAGGAGAAATTATGTGTTGGTCACTCTTGGGGTTAAAAAGTTTAAAACGTACTAAGCATGGCCAATTTGATTCCATTTTGATTTTAGCTATTTGTCAATTCAGTCTTTTTTTGGTGCAATTTTTCCCTTCCACTGATTTCGTATAGCTGCGAAACCTCCTTTTGCTCCACTTGTCACCACTGTATTGAATCATTAAAAAGGTTTGATACTGGGATGTGAAAATTTTTTGGTTATTTGGTTTTGATTGATTGTTTTGGCAATTTTCCGATTTTTAATGACTTTTTCTATGGTTTTGCAGTTTCTTAAAATAATAATAATATTATTATTACTATTAATAAATAATCTATTATTATTTATTTATTTTATAGACCCTAATACCTCCCTCCCATGTATATCATCTGGCAAGGCCCCTTACGTTTATATTTCTAGTAATTTTCATAAGCAATGAATGATAAAAAATGATGTTGCAGTAAATAGTTTCCAGGTTTTATTAATATGTTGCACCAATAAGGTTATCACTTGTTTTCATAACTTTTATTGACTGAAATCAATGAATGGTTTCTATATATTGTTTTCTATCGCCTTAGGTTAAGCATTTCTCTTGTTTATTTCATTCAAAAGGAGGAAATTTCTCAAAGCGCTGAAAGCAAACTGTTTCCCTGTCTGTGGGAATAGCCGCTCACGATGAACCAGTAAACACGGTACAAATTGTATAAAATCAATCACTGTGATGTAAAAGATCATGATGTACGTGAAGTCGTTAACAATAATGTTTTGGAATAGAAACGTTTTCAGTGAGGTGAATTAACATTAGTAATGTAATCTTACCCGATCTAGTCTCCAGTTTACGTTCTCTTTGTTTTCTTGAGTCTCCTCCGCCATAGCTTCACATCGTTCTAGAAGTCGCCGAAAATTTATTTCCAGTTTCGAGGCCGCCATGTTGGCAACTTTAAATTTACATGGGTATAAGCTTACTTGTAGTGTATCACATAGAATTGTGGTGCATCGTGTAGGCTCACAGCTTAGCTGAGCACCGGAAGATTGCTGACTGTTTCTCGGCCAGCCCCTTTCCTATAATGACGAACTCAGTAGAGGTGTGAAAAATGGTATGTTTGGTATAAAATTAAGGGTCAGGATTTGAAGCACGGATAGCACACCTCTACCCCCCCTCCCCTGGGGCTTACTCGATTGTGGATATGGCAGGCCTATTGCGAAGTCACGGACTCCTGATATAAGAAATGTGTTTAACATTTGGACACCAACATCATTCCGTTTTCAGGAAATACGAATCATATGAAAGGGTGGTTACAGCCCAATGCCTCATTTTTCGCAGTTTTGATTGTTACGTGGTTACAACTTCCTCAACTCATCGCAAGGCAAGGCAAAGAGTAACAAGCCTCTATAATTACTGAGTTTTTCTCACCCCCAGAATTCTTATAATTCGAAACGAAAATCACTGATACCCTGAATTCCGCTCAGTTTTCTCTCAATGCCACGTGGTTAACTTTGCCAAGACGTAGGGATTAATTGGAATCATGCGGAATTTTTAAGTATTCTCGTCCGTGTGCGGCGCTCGATCAATTATCACGTATTGCGCGACATCTCTCGAGAGCGTGACAACTATACCATCTTAACTTAAAATTTACATTCAGATTAGATCTCTTTTAGCTTGCCCTTGGGCAAATCTTACTTTGCTCGAGGCAGTTTCTTAAAATGACCACATACTTTAAATATACAGATAGGGGCATGCTTTAGCATGTATTCCGGTGAATAAATATTCGGATGTCTCAGAGGTAGTTTGTGACGCGTATTTCGGTTACGTCAATCAGAGAAATTATGAAACAATGTTTTTATATGAATTGATCTCCAAGTATTGTGCGGGTAGAAGAGAACTGTGTCTGTACTTGTCAGTTCCGTTTTTTCACGCCCGTTCTTTTAAGGAGACCTGTGTTTTCAGAAAGGTTTTAGATCCGTCGCAACCAGGAGCAATTCGCTGTACTTATCCTGTTTACGTACTTGTGAAGTTCTGAGGACTTCAGCATTACTCGAGAAATCAAGGCGAGTATACTTGGTCTTAATAGCAAAGCTGGTTACACCGAATGCAGTCAAAATGTGTATTTGGTTATATTTTGGCTATGATATTGTCGAAAATATCTATAAATATTTCCCTATGCCAAGGGCCGATCGATGCGATGTGCGTACAAACATGATAACAGTTAAAAAATTGTATCTATCATTCCACAGGCAAAAAATGGCTTCCGTTCCGATAAGTTCAGCGTATGTGAAGCAGTTGGAGAGAAATTCGATGTCGGAAACGAAAGCACAAAGTAATGGTACTGAACTGGCAAAATATGAGAAGAATCAGGATATTGCACAAGAAAGAAGGCCTTTTTCTAGTTGCATCTGTAATGTGCAAACGATGTTGCAATCTTCCCTCCAGAGTCTGCCATTTTTCTCATCAGCGCCAAGTGAACAACGGTTTAAAGAGTGCGTGGATCGTCCCTAAGCACGGATTTGCAAGATACGCTAAATTTTATCTGAGTGGAAGTGATTACGAAGCATTTTAACAGGGAAGAAACACCTTTTTCATTTTCGGTCTCCTTGACTGTCGAATCCTTTCAAAATATACGTGACCTCTTTCATGTATGTGTCAATTGCGCGAAGCGCTGAAAAGCCTGACTAAACAAAGTGGCACGTGAACCTAAATAACAGCCAATCTTTGATCTTCTCATATGAGGAAGTCGAGATCGGGGTAGACGTCACGCCAATGAGATGCTCCCTTGTAATCAAAGGTTCAAAATCACAACATGTGTTCAGGATTCACGTGTAACAATTTGACATGTTTTATCTCGGAAATCAGTTTGAGGAAAGACTGAATAAATCGTGGTTATCACGAATTCTCCAGTGGACATCCTGGAAGCCAATTTCTGCATTTTGCACTCGGTTCAAGCAGACGCTAGAAGAATCATCTCAATATCCCAGCGCGTGGGAGGAAACATAAGTTGCTCGTTGTGTAAACAGCAACGGAAATCCTATATAATGCCTGTCTTGCAAGTAAGCGTAGCAAAGAACTGTATGCATTATGAATTATGAAGTTAGACGGCATTTTGCCGAAAACATTCGTCGTGGCGATGATTAACAATAAAATAATTTTATAGTCGTTTTTCTTACGTTGTATTTGGTTACAGTAAATAGTGACAGGATTATGGTGTTTCTATTGTATTTCTAGTCAACCCTGTCGTTGTGGTCGAAAAAAAATTAGATCAATATCCCGTAATGGAGACGTAACAAACAAACGTAATTGTTTCTCAAATCAAGCGAGAACAATATCTATTTTTCATGACTATTGCATGACGGATCTGGGTGCTGCTCCGAGACAAAGGCTGTCTGTCATTAGGACATTTCAGAGGACGAGAACGATCTCTGTTCCCGTCGCTTTCATTAAGTGCATGCGATTGACGGAACAAGTGTTGTCAAATTGATTTCGGAAAACGTTGACGTTTCCAGCCAGTTTTTTCCTGACGCTAATTTCTAATTTGTAAAGACGATTGTCGGTTCCAAATCGAACAAAAATTCAGGAGTTGCTCTGCAAAAAGGTCAGGTAAGAAGCAAAGTAAAATGTACTCTTTACCTTAGTTGACCCTCTGCCTCAACCGATAGGCTCTTGTAGCGTCAGGTCTTTTATTTAGATTATTTCTTTTACAAGGAAAAGAATGGCATCTGTGCCAATTAGTGTCGCTTATGTGAATCATCTTCATACGGATACTTCGCCTGGTGAAAAGACGCAAGTCACCAATTTTACGGAAGTCACTGGAAGGGACAACATTCAACTTGAAACACGGCGAAGATGGCCTTTCCATATAAAAGCTCAAACGCAGTCACAAACACCACAGTCTTCGCCCCAGAAGTCATCCCGTCTCATTTCGAAGTGAACTAAATCACAAATTACGCTTGCCTAGATGATGGATCATCACGGTGTAACATAATCCTGAGTTTAAAGTTCTGGCCTGAAAGCGGTTTGTCGTGGATGTGTGTGCAAAGCTTAAACACAGACCTGAAAAAATTAGGCTAGAAATTTGACTTGTTAGTCAGACACGAAAATTCATCCGAGGTTTTGAGTACGTGATCACTTGTGTTTAATCTCGATTGCGTAACAAATTTACCTGCAAAAGAGACGTGATAACGTACATGTTCCTTAAGTTCGTCACGCGATCTGGCCGTTGAGTGACGAACCAACTAGAAACTGTTTACTGCGGCAACGTCCATGTTCGCCAACTGAGATGACAAAGATAATTCAAAATTGCCCTTTCTTTGGGTGAATCACGAATTTTAAAAAAGGAAAGTTTCCGTCACACGATCGAATATCCCGAGCGAATGACACTTTATAAATTGTTAGTAAAAATTATCATTTAATCCCCGAGGATATTTTACAAGAGGGTGTTGTGATAACTTCAACTGAAGCATAACAAAATGAAATTCCTTCTTATTCTTTATTATCTCATCCCTTTGGTCAAAACACTTTGCCAAGTTGCTCCTTTGGTCAAATGCCTTTAATAGGATAATTCTCCCTTTTTTCCTAAACCATCCAATCATTAGATATAGACAAAAAGAATCATACTGAATTTTCTTTTTAAGCTTTCAGATCTGAAATCAGACTTCACACTGACTTTGGCTTCTCTTAATTTAACTTTGAGGAAACCGGTCCTGAGAAATAATTCTATATGCTTTCTTTAACTTTTATGTGCCAAAAAGTGCTCCCTGTTTTTCCTCTTTTGATTAAAACTATACGCGAAGGAAAGTGTAAAAAAAGTTTAAAAGGAGAAAAATATGTACGGGTAAGGACTTGAGGATCGATTTGTTCTGGTCGCTGATAGCTTGCCCAAGGTATGCGCAACCTACTGATACTGATGTGGTTGTTACTGATTGAAGAGCAGACGCATAGATTACTTCACCATTCACAACATTTTGATCTTTTATCATATACAAGTCGATTTCATGTTGCCGCGCGACCGTTCAAAAAAAAAAAAGAAATCACAGAAATGCTGTAAAAACGCGGTACGAACAAAAAAAGTAGCATGACACATCCCCAATGGTGAGCTTAAGTACACGCATAGACAACATAATGGTCAGACTGATGGTCCCAGATTGCCAAGTATTTATTTACATTTCTAAGCTCACTCTAACACTGCTTGTCTTAACTGACCATGGATATAGTCAATCCAGTGACCCTCATAGATATAACTATTTACGTATATTCCATAAAGTCAAGTATACAAATTAGAAATATATCGGACTGGTCATATGAAGATGAAGACGTGTTCATTTTCAAGATGACAAGTGGCCAGGTAAGAAATTGAAACTACATCTTTTCAAAAAAATTTGCCCAAGAACTCCGCGTTACAATTAAGACACGCCGACCTGGCTAGCGATTCATCCTTAATAGAAAAAAAAAAACAGAATCAAACGACAAATTCCTAACCAATGTACCTCTGCTTACAGACCGTTCCAGTGTCTATATACAAATAAGGAACCTGAAGATTCCTTCCGCAACAAAGATGTTCAAAATGATCATTCGAAAGTGCGGTCGGCTAGAGAGCTTCTGTCAAAGACGTTTGCGTGACTTTTTAAGTTTGCGTGACAAACAAATGAAAAGCGATACCTGCAGGGCCAAAACCTTAACTTTTCACGGACCGTTCTTTTTCCTAAAACCAACAACCCTAAAGACTGAAAAGATTCCCCACGACTCTTGAGTGCAAGTATAAACAAAGCAACCTTTTATAAAAGTTAATCCGAGTTATTCGAATTCATCCAAATTACATAGCGTTTTTCGAAGTTTGCAGGAGCTATATCAGTATTTAGGAGCTATTTTAGCAACGTGCAAATCTATCTGCGACTTAGAGGAGTCTACAAAATACTACTTTGGCAAGAGAGAAAAATGCAATAAAAGGAACGTTAAAACTGTTAGGAACAACGGTGGCCTTGGATAGAGAAGATCGACCAAGATTGAAAACTTTGGCTAATTCCCTTAGGATGCAAAACCCAAGACAAAGCTTCAAAACGCGTAGATGTTCTTGCCTTCTCGGTCTTCAAGGCGAGGTCCAAAGGGCTAAATTTAAAGGAAATAATAAGACTCTCCGCTCCCAACAGAAAAAAAAAACATCAATATATGCAAAGATAACAGATAAAAGGTGAAGATAAAAATTAGCCGCCCAGCTTTCTTCTTTAGTGCCTTCGCGTCGACCAGTCGTTGTCAGTTAAAGACAACAATTCACTGACAACGTTCGCTACATTGTTGTTATGTTTCTCCAGCAGCTGTTCGTTGAGCCTGCGATTGCAAAAGCCCATCTCCATTAGACATTCATGGCAGGTAGAAGTGGATCGACCAGGAGGCCAGGTTACTTCGTTTACTACAGGAGCCTCCTGTGAGGGGAAGGAGTAGAAATCATGTAAGTCAAAACAGGTAATTTACCACGACAATCAGGTGAAGATTCCATGCATTAGAAGAAGAAAATTCATAGCTTATTATAGCCGTAATAAAAGCAGGAAAGCTTGGGTGTCGAGGAAAATAGCATTCGTATCAGGTTGACTTTTGCGGCTATGAAACATTGTGCATTTTAAGCGCATTAGATCATGTACCATGTATTTTGCGCTATACAAATAATAAAGTTTTTTTGTACAATTCACAGTGGTGAACGGGCTTTGCAACTGCGTGCGGCTTAGGCGCTGTAGCCTGGTTACCACTGTTCATCCAAAACAAAAATTCTCGCTCGCAAGAGCAAAAAGAAACGTAATTGGTGACGAATGAAACGTAAATCCGCGCAAGCAGATCATGCGTTTTTTAGTTAAGTCCATACCTTCCGATTCGGTTTCGAAATTCAAATTATATAGTTTAAAGTTAAAAGCAACCAGTGGTTCGACACCTTCAATGCGCTAACCCACATTTCAATTAAAATTCTAAGCATAAGGGAAATTGAGAGCTGGTTGGCTTACATTAGAAGATGGTTCCGCCTCTGATGGCCGATTAACGGACACTTCACATCCTTGCGCGGGATTGTATGTTGCAGTCGCCTCAGGTTTTGGTACACCAGAAAGGAAATTCTCCACAGTAGTGTAAACGGCCCTTCCTGCGCTGGCTGCGGCATCTATCGCCGTGGACAATACATCGGACACCACACTGGAAGCAAAATCACTACTAGCACTGTTCTGACGGACTCGCTTCACAACCATGACTTCACTAACGGGAACAGTAGTAGGGACCATCACGACAGGAGAGGATGGTTCTGGCTGCAAGGCAACAGGAGCGGGTTCATCACTGCTGGAGACAGGTTGTGCTGCTATTGGCTGCGAGGTGACATCTGGTACTGCAGGAGCCTCCGTCCTCTCATCATCATTATCACCGTTGTCATCTTCATTAACATCACTTTCGTCCTCATCGCGTGCCGCTGGTTCAGGAGCAGGGACGTTTACAGGCTCAGTTATGATGGGCATTTCGGGTTGAGTGGGTTCGTAGTTCAAGTCTCTTGGAGGTTCCTCCGGTGCTATAGGACCCTCCAACCGTGGTTCTGACACAGGTGGATCAGGAAGATGTGGGATTGAGTCATTTAACGGTTCAAACACTTTGTCATCCTCATCGACAGTGGTCCTGGAAATTGTCTCCATACTAGTGTCGTCACTGCTCACACTCCTTTGATCGATGAAAAAAGTAGTACCAGGAACTCTATCAAGCTCGGTTTTAAGAGGGGGCTGATCGCTGAGGGTAAATGAAAATGCTCTTTGTTGACTCTCGGTCATTTGCTTATATTCTGTGACACTAACAGTTACGGGGGAGGGATCTGCAGTCAGGGGGGCGTTTGGGTCAAAGCAAGGAGGGACGGGTACCACCATGAACTCGTCGGACATATCAGTGGCGATGCTTTCGACGTCACTTGTTGCATCTGTGGACACAAAATTAAAAAGTTTTAAGAGAAAACAATGTGACATCTCAACGGTTGACAATCTTAGTTCGCGACACACGAGAAAGATGCTGAACGAAGCCTTACAACAGTAGTTTGCTGACGCTTTTTTTTATATATATTTTTTTCGGTTTATCGTTCACATTTTGACCAGTTAGGTCCTTCGTTGAGCCTATTGTTGGGCTTATTATCCATGTGTTCGTGCGTTCGCTTCTATGCTTAAAATCTTCGTTTTCTTTTTCCCGTTTCTACACAAGCAGTTTGAAAAAAAATTTAGCCAGAGAAGATTTATGTTGGAAAATAAAGCACTCTTCACAAGCCCCTTTCTCTTCTCTTTTATCATCGCACATCGCCCAGAACGTGAATGAGATGAGAGAATGTCTCGATTGAGAGCACAAGGGAGTGGAGGTGGGAGTCCTTCCTTCCCAGCGCACATAAAAAAAAAAAATGGGTGTGAACAACCTATGCCCTTAAAACCATCACAAGAGTTCACACCTTCCACAGCACAAGCCACGAGCTCCTCTATCTCAGCTCTGTCAAAGGACTCTGCTTCCAAGCCACACCCAGCTGCATCCCACTCCAGCTCGGAGACCTGAGCAGTTTGGCAGGACACGGTCACAGATTCTAACGGCAGCCTAATCTTCTCGAATTCTGCTGTGTCCTCGGTAGAACTAAGGTATACGTCTGATCCCGATGCTTCGTCCGGTTCCTCGGCCATTGGTTCCTGAAGAACTAAGTCCTCCACAAGCTTCCTGACAGGGGAGGTGTCGCGTTCAGGGAATGCACTGTTAATCAGGGTGGTGCTGTCATAACTGGGGTACTTAGGGGCTTCTTGTTTGGGTGAAAAAAAAAAAAACATGACATAAGACTTCTGACACTTAATAATCTATAAAATATATTTCCTGCAGCTGTTGTCGTGGATAAAAGAAACCGTTTTGAGAATCAGCAGCCGCAGACTTCTTTAAGGTCAAACTAAGCACGTTCACTCAAGAAAGTTAAAGATAATTGTCACAATTTGGAAAACTCACACGACAGCTTAAATTTGAATTCATACAGTTACTACATTCTAAATTAACGAATGACTAAATCATACAGAACTGACTTACTAACTGACTAACAAATAAAATTAACTAAATATTTCATAACAGTGTTTTTACACACACTGTTTGAAGCGGACGAATAATACCTGTCTCTGTTGGGCTGTCCTGATTAAGCAGCATCTCACTTTCAACTTTCTCCTCTTCAACAACAATCTGACACCAGAACAGAGGGCCAAATGGGATACTGTGATGACACAGCTGCCATTTACTACAACAAAAATATATCAATAATTATTTCTTGACACTAGAGGAGTACAGTGAATGGGCATTCAAGACATCGTTATTTTCAGGTAGACATAACTTCTTTAAGGAGCTACGTAACTTAACGTTTATCACTTTAGAAAGAAAAATTCAATGTGGAAAGTTGAAAAAATACAACGAAGAAGCAAAGTTATTTTCAATTCAAAATCGAAATTTTTCCACAACTGCATTGGTTTCGTTCTTCTCTGCTCAGTGATTGGTCCAGAGAACTCGCGGAACTATTTAGACCAACCGGATGCCAAACTAGAAACAATTGCGACTTGTTCACATACGTTTTGAGAACACTTTTCGATTGAGAACGGTGCAACCAAAATCAAAGTAGCCACGACAGCCAATCAGTAGAGAGGAAGATATCCTAAAGAGCCAATGAGATCTCAAAGTAAAAACAACCAAGCCGCCAAAAGCGCGGGAAAACAAGGGCGACCAAGTCGTGATTGGTTTTAGCTTTGTATCTGATTGGTTGAGAGTGTGTCGCAAGTTTTCAGGACCAATCAAAGAGCGAATAGAACAAAACTAATGTAATTCCGGATTACCTTCAGCACTCAGTTGAAAATTGCTTTATAGTGCTTAAAAAATTTGTGTGTTTTAACTTTGAGCTCTCACTAGTTTCTTGTGATAATTCCCTTTCTTCTGATTAACTATTTTAAGAGGACGTTTCCGAATTACCTCTGCCCTCTTTTCCAAAACGAGGCCTGGTGCTCAATCAGTCGTATGAAAATAAATTAAATTTGCGTATGAATGAAAACATATATTCAGATGAAAAGATGAGCACCAGGACTCGCTGAAATGCGCTCTTACAAAACGAAGAGGAGTGAGAATAGCTCGAGATGCTAAAAATCAAAACGGACTTTCAACGACAGAGCTGACGTTTCGAGCGTTAGCGAGTGACGAAGGGCTAACACTCGAAACGTCAGCTTTGAAACTCTTTACGGTGTCCAGTTTACGCTATCAACTCAGTTGATAATACTTAAGTACCCTGTTATACTCTCCCACCGACGCAGCACCTCAATTTCTTTCGAAACTTACCCCCTTTTATCAACGACAAACTCCGACAACTGAGGCTGAAGTTTTCAACATACACAAAATGAGACCCTAGCTTTTGATAAAATGCGTTTTGCCCCCTCACTGCTCCATAGCTGTTGTCTTTCTTACTGACTGTAAAATGTACAGACTGATAAATGTATGACAAAATTTCTGTATGATACGAATTTCAAATACCTTTCATAACGCCCAGGTGCTAATGGAGCAATGAACGGCACCATAAGTTCACCTTCTTCATCTAGTTTCAAGGACGGTACCTCAACTTTGTTTTCTTCTGTAGCAACTAGGATGTTACCCTCTAGACACTGAAGCTGTGAGGAGAACATGTTCAACAGAATGTTAAAACAGTTTAGACTCAATATCTACACATGTAAGGTTGGGCACCGATAACCAAAAGAACGTTCCACAACATCAGAGTGAACAAGATGAGCCACGCACAGAGTAGGAGAGGCATCTGCAAGGCCATATGGATCAAATGGGAGTTTTCGTCGTTTTCTAAATATTACGGTTTGAGATTATCTGCCATCAACAAAATGAATTATTCAAAACAACAGTCTTACCACTGTCTTAGCATTCCACTTTCGACCTTTGTTCTTCACAACCCAACGTTTCAGAAACTAGCAAGTAAAGAGAAAACTGAAAACTTACTAAGAAATACTAGCCGTGCATCAAGTTCAAACTATACCCTTGAAGACAATCCAGAATATTTGTCTTGGAACCAACTGCCACGAAGATTCCAAACGAAAAAGGCAGCCTTCCGTTATGTTTTGAAGAGAATATTGCAAAATTTAATCGCAAAAACTGTAAATTTGAAAATTCGATTTGATGAAATGCCAAGAAACATTTTAGACCTAGTGTTTCACATTGATTAATGAAAAGGTTGCAATTAAACATTTTTTTCAATGTTTTTCAGAATCCATGGTTTTTATCAAAACAGGGTTTATGCCATGCTACAGCGCAGCTAAAAGAGAAGGGGACCAAAATGTGCGCGTCAAACTCGTGTAGAGCGCGTCTGAGACCAGACGCAGACTAGTCTCGACAGAAAAGCATACGCGTCTACTGTAGACGCGTCTGTCTAATTAGCATGAGGAACGGTCATTGTTTATGTGGATGGGCATTGTATTTATAGTAAAAAACTATTGGAAATTCAGAAAATTCGTCGATCGTCTTGAATTTCTTACGGCTGGGTTTGTTTAATCACTGCCTTAGTGCTGTTAACTTAATACAGTTTTTGCTCGCCGGTAAATTTCATCAAGGTTCGCTCACCAAATAACGCATCATACTGTAATTGACCTTTTGGGCTTTAGAGTTCACGTGTAGTGCCCCGTAACTTTTGATGTAAACAAACCCCGAAAGTTCGGACATTCTTCGAATCTGCTTCAACGGCAGCGAAATGACAACTTGCTTGACGCACGATCAAATAAATGATAAAAGAAAGATACCAATTTTGAGCGAAGAAACGTTTCTTGAAAGTGAGAAGTTATTTAAGAAAAATTTCCAAAGCCGAAGTTTGAATACATGTGCTGCGAGCTCGACTCAATGTCCGAACTTTCGGTGTTTGTTTATATCAAAAGTCACTTGACACTATACGTGAAATCTAAAGCCCAAAAGGTGAATTCAATACGGCTAGTGCACAAATTGAATAACAATCGTCTGTGTCTCACCTTATGTCCTGCCTTTATAACTGTACCGTCAGGTATGCTGGCATCGGCTATGAACTCTGCATTAAGGCAATTTCCCATAGAAGTGTCAGCATCACTCTCTCGTCTGTCGTCAAAAGAGTTAAGTTAATAGTTTTTGGTCAGATAAATGTTACAATGCTACATGTAGTTGACGGAAAATAATTGGTCAGAATTGCACAACTGTTGTTAGCTGTAAGACTCAATGTCATGACACCACAGTGGTCCTTGCAACTGGGTTTCCACATGTATGTTCATATTCTTCAAAAGTGTCCACAAAAATTCCAGTTATCAAAACAACTAAATTTAAAACCATACACAACTACTTCTGTCCTGATATTCTGACAGGACAACCGAACTTTTCAGAGATGTTAAGTAATCCGAGTAAATTACAGGTATCACAACTACTAAACAAAACACAACTACATACAGTCATAGCATCCGCATGGGACAACAGAACTTTTCATAGGTGTTTACTTACAGTGTAGGTATTCAGAACCTATTTACTCATTTAACTCCCAAGATCTCATTAGTAATTCCCCTAACTGTCTGCCATACAGTTCTTGTGATGTTAGTTTGGAAAATTTGGTATTGGATCAACTTATTATTCCCTAACTGATATTTTTCTTTATTCTCATCACTTGTCTGCTTGATATTGTATTAATATTGTAAGAAGAAATTCTGTCTTGGTCACGCATGGGAGTTAAGGGGTTAATCAATTAACTCCCATGAGTGACCAACACAGATTTCTCCTTACAATATTAATATAATATCAGGCGGACAAGTGGCAGAGAAAAAGAAAAATATAACCTAGGGGATTACCAGGTATCAGTTGAAACAATACCAAATTCTCCAAACTAACATCACAAGAACTGTACGACAGACAGTTAGGGGAATTACTACTGAGATCTTAGCTTACATTTGCCTCCATTCCTTCTTTATCTTTCTTTTAACATCTCTCTTCTCTTTTTCTCTTTCCTTAATGATCAGTTTCTCCTTCTTCCTTTCCTTCTTTTCATCTTTTTCCTTCCTTCTCTCTTCTTTCTTCTCCTTTTTGTACCCTTCTTTAACTGTCATCTTGTACACAAAATGTTTCAACACTGGTACCATTTCTCCATTTTTCAGTCCTATTCCTGGCACATGGTTTCGCAGCTTTGCAAAGAAATGATTAGGATCGTGAATCCCTTCTTTTCCTTCACACACTTCACACAGGTCGTAATCTCTGCAGAAACTGCAGAAAAACAAATTAAAACCAAAAAGTGAAGCCAAGAATGTCTCCTAATAATGGAACTGGACCAAATAAGTCATTCATTCTTATCCTACTCAATGTCCAATTTGTAGCCTCAATATACAATTTACAAGTACTGTAGTTCAATTTCTGCATCTGCTAGAGAATGTCTTCATATTTAAAACCTTTTCTGTTTTAATGCTTGAACACTTCAAGAGTGAAGAGTCCAGTTTAACCCTTCAACTCCCCTGAGTGACCAAGACAGAATTTCTACTTACAATATCAATACAATATCAACCAGATAAGTGATGAGAATAAAGAAAAATATTAATTTGGGGATAATAAGTTGATCCAATACTAAATTTCCTGAACTAACATTATAAGAATTGTATGGTTGACAGTAAGGAGAATTAAAAATTTGATCTGGGAGTTAAAGGGTTAGAGAAATACATCTTCGAATGACATTGCCTTACTGTAACACTGGGAAACATAAATTTTAAATTTAAAACAATTTCTGATTGAAAAGATTTGAAGGTGTTTGATTGGATTTTTCTTTGTTTACAAATTGTACTGATGCACCTGGAACAAAACTGGTTTGACCTTGAAATTCTGTAAAAACTACAACATAAATGTTTTCACTTGGATCACATCTACCCTTCATCAACTTAAAAATTAAAATTGTTCTGTTCTCACCAGCACTTGTATCGGATTCCACAGACAGCTTGGCCACATGAAGCACAAACTATACCTTTATGAACAACTAATAAAACAACAACATTTTGGTTAGAATAATGAAAATAATGATTTAAAAAATAAATAAAAAGTGCTGACGAAGAATCGCTGATTGTGTGACTTGTAGCATGGATGCTTGTCATCAAGGAACAGATCCACATAACAAAAGACAAATGAAAAAAGGGGGTAAGTTTCTAAAGAAACTATGATGCTGCATTGTTGGGAGAGTATAACAGGGTAATTTTGTTTTATCAACTGAGTTGATCACATAAATTGGCCACTGTTAAGAGCTAAGACATCACATTTCTGTGTTTTTGGCATCAAACTTTGGATCCTCCACTACAGTTGAAGCTGCACCTATGAGGGTATACATTTTCAAAAACCCTCCATTGCAGAGTTTCATGAAGTGACATGTACCCAGTTAACCTCATCGTTTGAAAAAAACTAGCAATGCACAATGGAAATATCTGTTTGAAATCCACATCAGACATTACTGCATCTCCATACAAACAACAGCACTTTGCTGAAATTGAATATTTGTTTCTAAACCAAGAGTAACCACAAACTTTTTATGACTAAAATGACATAAGATTAGAATAAATTCTCCTTGTCAGCACTTTCAGAAATGTATAGAGAACAGTATGGAGAATATGCATGCTGATGTTATGGTGTAAAGGGATAATTGCCATACCTTTACCCCAGGCCAATATGTCACATGTTTGTGTGGGCGAGGAGCTTGGTGAGGGACTGCTGAGGTGAAGTTGCTGCAGATTTTTCATTGCTGCCTCCACTATTTGCGGCACTGACTGGATAGAGCAAATAGAAAGAACCTTTGTAGTCTTAGCTTACATATTTATAAGTAAGATTAATGACTTATTTATAATAATTTTGTATGGAGTTGTCATCCAATGTATGTTCTAAAACTGCTTTCTGCACTTACTTAAAAAGGTTGACTCTTTAACTCCCAAGAGCTAAATAAAAACTATCTGCATTGAGTATGATACATTTAAAGCAATTTCATCTCTGAGAATTTGATTTTACATGTATATCAAGAAATATCTCCAACATTTTCAAAAAGCATCAATTAAAGAAAAAAATTGTGATCAGGTTCCTCTACAGGAAAAAATAAATCAGGCACTAAAATTTTCCTGGCTCCAAATGTGTGGTTTTACAGCTCAGTTGTTAGTAGCACCAACTAGTATCTGGGAGGCATGGTTTGAATCCTGTTGAAGCCTGGATAATTTAGGCTAAGTTAATTCAGTATTGTTATTAACTGAGTCTATAATGCAAATTGTCTACCACAAAGAGTTTAAAAGCTGACAAAACCTCAACTTTTAAACTCTTTAGTAGTATCAACTCAATTGATAAAACTAAATTACCCTGCTATATTCCCCCACTGACGCAGCACTATAGTATCTCTAGAAACTTACCCCCCCCCCCCCCCCCCCCGAATTTTTTAGGCTTCTTTTCTGCAATCGATTCAATTCCAGCTCACCTGCCAAGATCATTGCTTTACTGAATAATTTCTCCTATCTGATAATAGTATTTTTTCTCATCACTTTTCTGATTTCATCCCACATAGCAGTTTGTTCTATTTCATCTTTCTTTACCTCTTGCACCACTCGTTGAACGACTTCTGCCATTTTTTCTTGATCAACACTGCCCTGATTACATTTGTTGCCACTGGCTGATGGGTTCAAAACATCAGGATTGGCAGTCATTTCAACTTCCCCTTCTCCTTCTGCTTTTGGTTGGCTTTCATTTGATTCATTGGGAGAAGACAACAACTTCTCATTCTCTACCTTCACAGTTCCAGTAGCAGCAGTCATATCACCTGAGATTAATAACAAAAAAGAGCTCAGAACAAGACCCACAAAAACGCCATCTTGTTGTCTTTCCTGGATTTACATGTATTGCTTGTCAGTGAGTTCTCTTCAGTACAGTTAGTAAAGCATCTGACTGCAAAATCCAAACTACCTGGGATTGGAAACACAGAAACTGAAAAACATAAATTTTTCTTTCTCCCACACTGAAAATCTTTCTTGAGGACAATTTTTGCAAGGCCATGTTACTTGTTAGAATCTCAAAATTTGGCCAGTGTCAGCATCAGGTATAATTTAGATGAGATAAAAAGCAAAAAAACCTAATAGTTTCTAGAATATTCTTCCTTAATTCAAATATTACATATAATTTTTTTAATTTAGTCACCTTGCTGTGGAACAAACACATATGAATCTTCTCCAAAATCTCCAAGTCCCTCCATAGGAACATGTTCTTCACTCTTTAAAACATCTAGAGAACTCCGCAATCGTTTGTGAAGCTTCTCATTCATGGTTGCCAACTCATCAGAAATATTCTCAGCCAACTGTAAATAGCAGCTCTTTGCCTTAGGTTTTCTTGGAGCTCTTCTGGGTTTCCCAAAAGATGAAGTTGAAGCTTGAGAAGGATTACTCGGAACTGGCTGCATTAGTTCAATTAAAGGGATATATTGGTCAGCTGTGGACTCGTCAGCTATCCTCTCATGTGTTGGTGGCCCTGTGGATGAAGGATTCTGCAGTACACCTGCAGATTCCACAGTTTCATCTACCACTTTTGAATCACCTCTGCCATTCACTATTTCATTCCCCTCAGTTGGTAATGGTTCCTTTTCAGCTGTCTCAAATTGGGAGTCTTTTTCAGCTTCTTGAAAATTTGAGTTTGCTTTGATTACAGTTTCTTGGCATTCTGCATCATCCATTTTTGCCGTCTTGTAGGCACTGCTTAGCTCTGATGGAGTGGTAGTGTTGAAGATTAACTTACGTTTCTGGGCTTGAAGCTGAAACAAAGTAAAAAGGTTTACTGACTGTAATGGTTACTGCATTCACACACATGCAGCAAGGAACTTTCTTTTTAACCCACAAGTCCTTAATTTTTGGATAAGTGTAGTGTTTGTTATTTCGATCCCTAAGAATCTACACTAGGCAGAAGGACTAAATTAAAGAAACTCTACTTTTTGGACTGTACTGTAACTTGTACACCTTATACTCACTAAGTTAGTGATATCTCATGATAGAGACATCAAACAACACTTACCACAGGTGTGTCTTCCTCACTTTCTACCAGTAAATCTTTAAGACTTTCAATTCCTGGCACAGATGTTTGTGGATCAGAGGGACTCTCCACTACTAGTCTAAATAAACCTGTTTTTTGAGTGACCTGAAATTAAAGCCAGAAAAACACAAGACACTCTATTTGAAATTCCCTGCACAACCACAGCAAAGGAAGAGAATTAATAACTCAGAGGAAATCACAAGCTGAAGCAGAATTGATGAGAAGATCTGAAGTAGAACCCCATGGACTCAAGGGAACAAAAAACAGTCCAAGTTAGCAAGGGTGCAAGTTATCAGGATTAGTGTACATTAAATTTCAACTATCCTGTTTAGAATTAAGAAAGAATCATGTTTTTACCATTCTGCACAATCAACAGTCAATTTTGTACACACAGTTTATTTCATTTGTGCTTTTTTAGAAGAGTGTTAAAGATAAGTTTGGGAAGGTTTGCTAAATGTATTTTTCCTTGAAGTTTGAGTCACAGGGAAGTTTGAGTTAATCCTGTTCAAGTTAGCTGATAAGTTAGCTGATAGTAAATGAGTGAAAAAATGGGGTCAAATCCAGAGGAAATCACATTTTTTGCTATCACTCCTGAATCAACCAGTAAGGTCAAAAGAAAAAAGGAAATGATCACAAACTAAAGAAGCTCTTGATCATTCAATAAATTATCCTTATCAGCACCTTAGGAAATTTATAGAGAACAGTATGGAGAATATGCAAACTGATGTTAAGATGTAAAGGGTTAGAGTTGAAAAAGTAACAAAAACTTCACTGATGGGAGTCTCCCCTTTGCATGTACGACTATCCGTGTTTCTCATTTTCTATTTATAAAAAGGTATTTCAGAGCTCACCTTTAGTGCTTCTTCAAGTTCCACTAAAACATCAATTAAAAATACATATCAATAAAACATTAAATTTAGTTTTTTACAACAATGATCGACAAACAATGGAAATCGTAAGCTTTTTTCAATGTTTCAAAATTTTCCTTTAGAGAAAGATTTCTAACGGAAAACAAAGGAAACTGAACGACCTCTTTTTTCAGTAATTTAATTTGTTTGTGTCTTCTAAACCTCGCTATCGAATGGATTTCTGAAAAATGGAAAGCAGCCTGAACCAGTACAGAAATATTAATTCTAGAATACATGACGGGTTCGAAACTTGCATGTAACTTGAATTTAAGCCAACTAAAAAGTGCAACGAAAATGAAACAGCTGAAAATTGACCCACAACTAAACAATTTGCTTGAAATTCTGACTATGCAATCGAACTTATGATGTTTAAAATGTACCATGACTAGCATCGATTTACTCTCCTTCACTAACTTACCATGTGTTCCAATCGTGACCTGAAAGTTACACAGAAAAGATATAAGAACCATTATCATCTATACTGACATGTAAAACCTTAGACCCAAATTGAAGACCATTACATAATGCTATTTCATCTAGTAACTTTTATAAATAGTTCACATCTTTGCAAAGAGTGCTTTGAATTAAATACGATAGTTTTTTTTCGTATACGTTAACCAGTGTTTACAGTAGAAGAAGCATGCACTATTGCAGGAACAAATATGTAGTTACCAATTCGTTTTCGTCGTCAATATACTTCAACGTGAAATCTTGCACATCAAACAGTTCTTTTATCTAGAAAAGAAGGGATTTATTGAAAAAGATTAACAATCTTTTAATTTAAACCAGCCAAGGAGAGACCAGGCTAAAAAAAATTCTTGCTTAAAAACACTTACTTGAAACGTTAATTCCTCCCAGGATGTGGGAGAACTGATCTCGAATCGCCGAGCAATGCCATTGAATCTGGCCTTTACTTTGACCCTGTCGGTCATTTGAATAACTCGAGGCGTTTCCAAGAAATAAATGAGCCTTCGAACGAAAATATTACGGGTAAAAACCCTTTCGTTTACTGTGCAATTCTAGAAATCCGCCTGTTCAGCAACTTCCTTCGACCAAAACAAAAGTGACGACATAGAATCTTCATGAACACATTATGTCACTCACTTACCAAATATGGTATATAACAGACCCGGATGACTACGACCCCAGGCTTTTCTCGATGGAAGAGGGCACTGATCCGTACAAAGTTCAACTAAGATCTTATCAATTGAAAGGGCCGAATTTAAACTCCAAAAACCAGTAGGATTTATTGGATAAAATCCTTTTTTTTTTCCTCCGTTATTCTGTTCAAGACTGTAGCAAGTATGAAAGACGAAAACTTCTGGTCAAATTAGCCGAAACGCGCAACAATTTTCAGATTTTCAACAGGTTTTCACAACTTTGCAGTTTTAGAGAGAGCACTGGAACACTTCCCTCGGTTAGCAAAGCAGATTGAAAAATTTTTTACTAGAGAAATTAGTTCTGGGGGAGGGGGAAGGGGTGAATTAAGTGGGTAAAGGAGCGCTACTTCAGTGCACAGGGGTAACTTGGATGCGGGGGGGTGGGGGGGAGGGTGGTAAAAATAGGGGAATAGGTGGCTCATTTCCCCACTGCCCCCCTCCAATTATTACATGTTTTCATACACTCTCGTACCTAGATCCTCCACGGTCGGTAGGGGATCCAGAAGGGATCCTACATTTCAGTTACAGTTAGAAGGTAGGATCTGGGTACGAGATTAGTTTTCATACTTAAATGCACTTTCAGCATAACCATTTGAACGAAATCATTTGCTTTTTAATGTCTTCAATGGTGGAAAAAAAAAATAGAAGATATTTTATCTGTGAAAATATTGCTCAGAGGAAAGGGGGGAGTGGTTGCTCGCTCAACTTTGGTGAACACCGATTACTTGGTGCGTCTGTTTGACTAACAAAACCTTTAATACTTTTCAAAATACTTAAACGGTAGCTAAGCAATTCATTTTGAAAAATTGCGGAGCCCGTATTGATAACGAAACTATGATAAAACAATATTTAAAAAGCCAAATATCCACCACTATTCAAGGACACTGAGGTGAATAATTGATTAGTATATAACACACAGAAACTGAAAAAAAAAGTAATTTACTTCTGTCAATCAAGCATCATAAAAATGGTCAAAAATAAAATTGTCGCCACGCGATTTTCTCCCTTCAGCTGTTCGAAGGTGAATAGCATTAGCTAATCACTCCTTTCTTTCTATTTTTTTTTTCAATATCTTTATTGGGACCAAAAATCGCTGCTGTTTACCCTCAAAAAAAAACAATAAGCCTCCTTAACACATTCAGTTGGTAATATCCCTCTACCTGTATTGTATTTTATCGCTTCACTCCAATCAGTGAGGAAAAATGTATTTCCTCATTAAATATCATGGCATTCTCAAGTAGAAGGGTGCTGAGAAAATTGGCGCAAGGTGATATTACGCTGCCCTGATTGTAACAAGTGTTTAGTCGACCTCGCAAGCTAACAGCATATCGAAGCGCCTGAATAGCGAATTGAATAAAAATTAACGCCTAACCCTTTTATACCCTGACGTCAGTAACCACATTCTGCATACTCTTTATTATACATTTCCTTTGGTACTGACAAGAAGAATTCATTTAACAATTATGAGCTTCTCGAGGTGGAGATTATATCCCTGTTTCTCATCACTCTAGTATTTGATTTAGCGGAGATACTGAGCGGAGAAATTAGATGTTAATTACTCTTATGGGCTAAAGGGTTGGTAAAATTCTTTGAGCATAGTACAGTAGTACCCCGCTTACTTGAACAAGATCCGATTTCCCTTGGATTTCACCCCATTTTTCCTGTCATTTATTATCAGTTAATTCGAACTCCCTGTTGACTCTTTAACTCCCATGAGTGACCAAGACAGAATTTCTCCTTACAATATCAATACAATATCACGCATACAAGTGATGAGAATTAAGAAAAATATTAATTAGGGGATTATTAGATGGTCCAATACCAAATTCTCCGAACTAACATCACAAGAACTATATGGCAGACAGTAAGGAGAATTACTAATGAGATTTTGGGAGTTAAAGGGTTCACTTGATCTGATTTCACCTTCTTTTGACTCAGATCCACCTCTAAGAACTCAAAACATCAAAAGTGACAGAACACAGCTGACATGTCTCAATCTTTAATTACGATTGACACGAATGTGATTACAGTCATGTAAACGAAATATATTTAGCTAAACTTCCCAAACTAAACGTTCTTATAGAGTTCTTGTCAAAATTACCCAACACGAAAGTGTCTGTTGTTGTGCATGAATGGTAAAGTGATTGTTAATAACAAAAATTACAATTTTCTCGATTGTGATGGGTTTAAAAAAACACCAAGTTGTCAATGGACAGTGCAATAAGTCAATCACATTTAAAGTTGTACTTTGAATCAACCAATCACAGTCAAAGTTAAGGTTTAAATGAACCAATCCCAACCTCGGTTTCAATCACCATAGATACAGCATGCAGACCCCTTAATTGATGCAAACTGTTTCTTTCTTCCCTTATAACTTGGCTATTCTTCTTTTCTCGGAAATTGTTAATTTTGTCAGTGGTAAATTGGTAACAAGACTTCGTGTCATCTAATTTGGTGAAAAACAAATCGGATTTCTGCTGCGCGGTCGTCCGATAGCAAATTAAAAAAAAGCTAGACCCTTTTAATCCATCAATAGAACTCTAAGATAATTTTTCTGTCTTGTTTCCCTATGAAACCAGATCACTCGCCAGATTAAAATCAGGGAGTGTGAGTCTATCAGCGCAGAATATACATAAGCTCTATTCTACTTAAGTATTTTATTTATATTGAAATAAGAGTAGACAAAGGATATGTTTTGTAAAGCTCTTTCATCTTGGAAGGTTTGGTATAAGTAAAAGCAAGTAGATTGAATAACACTCGGGAAGAACACAACGTCACTCTATCTATCACTGCGCTCAGCGCCTGACGGGGCATTTTTATTCGTCACAGCACTACTTTTATCACGCACAACAGCTTCTTCGGCCGTAAAAGTTCTACCATTTTCGTGTTCAGGTGAAACACGAGCAGCAGCAGCAGCAGCACCTCCGTTGCTATTGAAAGAAAGCGGCCGACGTTGTTGTTGTTGATGTTGCGCTTCCAGCTGCTCGTTTAGTTGCTGGAAAGATTGTGCCATGTTTTCCGCCATTTGAGATAGCGTAGATTTTTTCGTTTCTTCGGCTTTGTTTTTGTTTTGCTTCCCACGATTCTCTTTGCCGATGGGATCTTTGCCTTTGCTGCCGCCTAAAAATAATAGTGAAAATCATTTGTATTTAACAAAATGCCATTTACTCAGAAAGAGTTTTAATTACAGGTCGATTGTAGAAACTCAGGTTAGTAAAGATTTAAGAGTTGGTCGAAATTCCCCACTCGTGGACTTGCTCTCACATAAAGCACACAAACAAACAAACATGTTCTATCATACTTCTCCCTTATCAAACCACTTCTGCAAAATTTTCCTCAAATGACTTTAAGAGCTTGAAAAAAGAACTTATTTCATGACTATAGCTAATAAATATCAGGTATGTGCATCTACCAAACTATTTCCCCTCTCTAACACGTCCTTTATTTTTTGATTTCTGCAGAAATATAAATTCTTTTAAAAATCAACTTATTCTTTAACACGTCCTCATCTTTTCACTTTCTTATTTCAACAGAAATATCAATTATTTTAAAATCATTAACTGCCAGTAGAAAGCGCCAGAGAAGCAAGTGGAAGGCAAACTGAAGGAAAAAGCACGTTATGTGATACAAAGCGAAAATTGGAAAAATATTCAAATCCTAACGCGTAATGGAACTCAAGCAATACCAACAGTGAGGAACAAATTAAGCTCGTAGAGGGAAAGAAGACTTTTAATTCATATCTAGATTCTAGCGTTGAAGGTGCCTACACAAGTTATAATTATCAGACTTTTCCCATTGAAAACAAAAAGAAATACTGAAAACCGCCATTTACAATAACAAACCTACCCTAATTCCCATAGACATTACCTTGTCTTCTTGAGGAGGTCGTTCCGTTTGCCACAAGGCTTGATGCACCTCGACCATCAGTGGTGTCTCTACCCTGAGCTCCCGAGTGTGGCATAGACGAATAACCACGTGACTGGTCACGTGATTGAAGTCTTGTACCTGAAAAAGACATATGATCACGAGGACGCGCACCAGTCAGATTAGGATCCAGTCCGTTGGCTTCATGATGAGAACCAGGTTGTAGCTTAGACGGTTCATTCCCAGTGCGCATGCCTGGGGCAGTTGTTTCTGCTGCTGCTGCTGCTGCTTGTGGCTCTTTACCGTGTCCATTCACCATCTCTGCATTCATTGCTGCGAACTGAGGGGCTATAATACCCGCAAGCTCTACATAGTGACCTTTGTTTTTAGGGCCCTTACGAGATTTCTTGCCTCCACGCTTCTTAGAGGCTCCATCTGCATAGTTTACTTGGTTTGTGCTTCGTCCACGAGCCGGAGGAAGCGTTCTTGGAGGTACAGGGGGGTTGTAGTACAAGTTATGAGTCGCGTACCCTCTCTGTTCCTCCTCGTTTCCCTGCATCATCTGTATCACCAGTGCTTGAAGCTCTGGTGCCATATTGTCAATCGTGCGTTGCTGCTCTTCGAGTTGAGCCCGTCGTTCCGCCTCAGAATCGTATCTCTCCCGAAAAGTTGCGCCATTTCCTCTAGCAGAGACGTCCTTCCTCGAAGTAGAAACATCCATCCTTCCCAGGTCCTTGTTCGTTGTCATGCTCGTCTGTTGACTAGAACTGAGACTTTCTCCCTCCGACGGATTAGAAAGTAATGAAGTGTCGTTTGACATCTCAGTTTGCAAACTACTACCATCAAACAGTGTCCGTTGTTCTCTCACACTATGACTATCCGATACCATACTACTGCCAGCAGCTGACTCATTTTCTACGATGCTTCCGTCAAAAAGCTCTTGGCTTTTTCGCTCCCTACTTCTATCATTAGCCTCTCTGCGAGCTTCGGTGGGTACATCTGCTAAAAGCCGTTCTCTGGACGTTGCTTTTTGTCCTGTGCTGTTGTTCAACAACTCTTTCCCTTTTACACTTCCTTCCTTGTAACTTGTTTCACGTGCTGTTGCTTGTGATTCTTCTAATTGCTTGTTCATGGCTAATACGTCGCCAGCTAAGTCCTTGGCAAGCTCAGTATAAGCGTTCTTTGTGTTCTGTTTCGGCCTTTTAGATTTCTTTCCATGGGGTACCTTAAAAGTGGTCTTAGGTCTAGCGCCTTGCGAATTGCCAACAGGAGCCGAATATTGCGAGCGATAATCTCCAAAATCAGAGAAATCGTTGGAATTACTTCTGACACCACCAGCGTCATTCTTCGGTGACTTCTGAGGATCTCTCCATGCCTCTTGCCAGTTATTTGACTGGAAACTTGAAGCAGCACTTTCCGATAGAGAGAAGTCATATCGACCGGATTCAACGCTGGCGCTGTCTGCAAGATTCATGTTCTCGAACTCTGAGCTCAAACAGGGATCGCATTTTGTATCAACATTTCTTGACATAGGTTGTACTTCGGTAGGTCGAGAGATAATTCCTTCACTTTCTACAGAAATGGCTTCGTCTTGTTCGGAATTCGCTGCAGATACTTTTGGTATTGATTCTTGCATCGACTCCGAGGTTGGCGGAAGTGAAAGTTCCTCTGTTACCTCTGGGTTAGGTTTCGTTCGTTTGGAGTAAGGTTCTCCATCTGTCTTAGAGTGGCATTCTCCATAAGTTGCATCAAAATAAGTGGTAGACTTTGAAAGGTGATCCTCCATCCCACAACTTCCTTCGTGAAAACTTTGCGAATCTTCCGTCTGAATGCTAGAGTATTCAAACCTTTCATTGTCTGAGCGTAAAAGCCCTGAACCACAAGAACCACTTTCGTCATACCCTGAAAGAGACTCTTGTTGGGCAACCGATTTAGTGCCTTCACCTCGATAATTCAACGAGTCTCCGTCTCTGAAAGCTCCAGAGCTTTCATGACCCGACCCACAAGTTGCGTCTGGGTTATAGTCCGAAAGTGACTCCTGTTGCACGAATGATCCAGTTCCTTCCTTCTTAAGGTCGTATTCAGTTTCAGACCTCTCTTCATTGTGCATCTCTGATTCGAAGTTTAAATGTACACAGCTCTCCGAGGCTGAGCCACAAGTTGCGTCTGGGTTATATTCCGAGATGGATTCCTGTTGCACAACTGACCCAGAGTTTTCTTGTCTGTAACTGCATGTAGTTCCCATCTCTAGCCTGTATGTCTCTGACTGGAAGCTTCTATGCCCGTCGGAGCCTGGCCCACAAGTGGCGTCTAGGTCGTATTCTGAAACAGACTCCTGATGAGGCATAGAGTCGGTTGACTCACGCTGAAACAGCGAATCGCGGTCATCATTGCTGCCTGGAGTGCGAAGCTGCTTAAAAGAACCGGAGACATCAGCAGCGAGGTCAAAGTAAGGATTTCGCGCCCCTTTTTTAGAATTATTTTCCTTCTGTTTCCTTTTAGATTTACCAGGACGAGTTTTCACATCATTTTCGAAGGGTTCAACGCCACCTTCAGCACCATCAAGAGCGTCGTTGTCGCCACCGGCAACTTGAAGATCAGCTGAAGGTTGAGCCATTTCTGCCGCTAGTTCCTCACAATGATTTCTCCTCCGTCTGTTGTCATTCTCCGATG